ATCCATTGTACTGTTGCTTCGTTGATTTAAAATAAAAAGTTACGTCCCTTAGGCCGCAACCAGATTAACGCCCGACACGGACGGTCAGACGGTAATCCATTGTACTGTTGCTTCGTTGATTTAAAATAAAAAAGTTACGTCCCTTAGGCCGCAACCAGATTAACGCCCGACACGGACGGTCAGACCCACAGAATTATGTGGTCAGACCAGACCGTCTTCGGGCACAAAAGAATGCACACCGGCTCTTTAGTAATGGAAGGTAACAAAACACGGTTTCGGCTACCATATTCTAATAATACTAATATTCAACTGACGCCCGACGTCCTGTGTCGTCCCCGGTCAGACCGTCTCCGATAAAACATGTTCAATCGAAGACGGTGCGTCGGGCGAAATGGGAGGTAATTATTTTATTTTAATGACGTTATCTCTGCATAGTTGTGTCCCCTTTCCCGCCTCAATGACACAACACAGAATTCTAGCAGTTCTTGGTCAGCTCTGCATAGCAATGCCATGTTTCATGCGATAGCATTGTTGGAATTTTTCACAATCTTCCTTCAACTACGGAAACAAATGATGCAATTCACCTAGTGTATCACGCTTTCTTTGGGTGGGATGCACGGAAAATCTTCTTGTCTTGGTTTTCTTTTTTTGTCTGCGTCTCAAAAGCACAACAACAACAATTTTCTTCTTCAACCACACGCCATATTTGCAAAACGGCGGTGTCTGACCGCCAAATTCCGGTGTCAATATGGTCGGCCGCACCCGACAGAAAACGGCGGGTCTGGTCTGGCTGTCGGTGTCGCTTACCGACAAAATGTCAGCAGATCTCAGGCTGTACATATTTAGCCTATTGGACCGGTACCAACTTTCAAAACATACCCATTCACTTGTCCAACTCCCCTTTATTTGCATTTGAATTCTATCGATCTATATTTTAATCATAGGCCTACCATTGTGTTCGTCGTTAAACACTTTAACTGTTACGCTTTATCTCACCTCCCTGCTCGGCTCTCTGCGCCACTTCAAATCATTGGGCTATCGTGCGCGATCTTTATTGTTACATTCCAAACTGATCTTTTTGAGACGACAATGTTGACTCATTTGCTTCACGATACTCATAAGTTGCCATTGGACGAATGCTTTGCTTAGATGAGAGGAAATACAAATCGTAAAATGTGGACAAAAGATAATAGTATGACGTTCGTTTTGGGTAGTTTACACCATTTATAACAGTGGGGATTACAGGAATTGACTGTACGTAAGAGCGCGAGTTGCATAGCCACACACATACGGTCGCTTTTAAGCACAAGGG